TTAAGTATAAAGATATTACGGTGGTGATCCATGATGATATAGCACAGAGGAGTGGAGGAGGTCTAATGACATGGTCATCCATCTCACTGTCCAAGACTAGAGATCACGCCACCCTCTTCCACATCGTTGTAAAAAAACTAGTGTAATGTCATTGTATTTTACTACTATACACTATGTAATATATTTTGCCTAAAGCAAAGCTCAATGCAATATGTTACTATACGTATTTAATTACTTTATAAGGTTAGCACAGTTTTACTGAATGAAAATTTATTGTTTATTTCATTCCATAAACGTTGTTATTTTTTCAAACGGAAAGAATGCATTGAGCATTTGACAATGTTCAACCTTACATTTAATTACATTTCTAATGTGCCTTAAAATAACTAAGTGAAATTGTTAGTATTATCCTAATGTGTTTTCAACTGGAAAGCCTTTCCACAAATAGAGATTTGGGTATTAATTACATTCTGTACCTCCTTAAACAGTGTACACAGTAATTGTTTAGGAACGGTTAAGTTCAATGTGCCATGCGGGTATTGGCATGGTTTCGTGACATGATCTTTATATACATAGATTTCGTAAACAATTAATTACTAGGTAACATGAAGAGTAAATGGAGAAAAGTAAAGTGTGAGGTTAGAATAAGTGTCTTCGTCTGTATATTTTTTCAGCACTAAGCCTATACTGATATTGAAGCATGTCAATGTAATAATCGAGTCCCTCGAAATAAATTATAAGGTAATTTTGTTTAACAAATGATAATTATGTGATACCACTATCACATAATTATCATTTGTTTTTTACTAGAGATAGTTTATCACTAGTAGGTCATAAACCTTGCACTACATATATGTGGGCAAACTTTATCCTTATCCATAATAAGTATAAAATTAATAATACTTAATGCAATGAATATAAATGTTAAGTTGACTTTACATGGAATATGTAGGTTGATTGACTGAGTAGAATAATTTCAACTACATTGAACGTGTTGACCAATACAATGATAGAAACTCGACATTAAGACAAGCAATAATTCAAGTTACCGCTTGATTAACTTCGAAGATCAATCCAAAGTTTCAACATCATTTGCAGCATAACTTTCAGGTAGGACTTGATCACCAACTAAATGATCCCAAGTTCTGACAAACAAGAGCACTTCTGTATTGAATCATTAGTTGATTAAATGAATTGTCTACATTTTTCCAACACAATTAGAACCATTTTTTTATATACCAAAAGAGTAAAATATGTGAAATAATAATTAAAAATTATAAAAACTGTGATTTAAAACAGTTGGCGAGAAAAATATTTTATTTTCTATTACACATACATACGACTTTTGAACGAATAAGAACATGAAAACGAAAAAAAACTTAACAATATTAGAATTCTGGTTTCATACAAATCTAAGTCATATTAATTATTCAGATGCAGATCTTTTAATTTAAAATAATACAATTCTTAAAAGCCCAGACTCATAGATGTTGTTGGAATTCACATCAATATTACATTCAATTATATGTAAGTTCGTAAAAGCTTTAAAAAACGTTAAATCGGATAGCTATTACTTCCATCACTCTTTTATTTTCAATTGAACTCACAACAATAAGCATTTTAATCATAACTGAATCTTAGCAATGAAACATCAAGTACAAAGAGAATAAGATATATAACAGCTGATTCAAATTATTACACTAGTTGTATATAATAATCTGACAACTTCTAACAGATGTTTTGTTATATATCTATAGCCAGATATTGTATAGCATTTAAGATCGTGGTTGAAATGTCTACTATGTGAAAGAAACTATAAACCAAACGTAACTGAACTCAAGCCAACAAGATAAGTTCAAAAACGTAAAACACCATTGAACGAATAATGGATTATTAATAAAATGCGGTTCTGAATAAAATTTTATTCATCAAATCCAAGTCGAAAATGTTCAAAAGACAGCGAAAATTAGTAAGAATTAGTAGTGCTTTAAACGTACCTCAGTTCATACTAAATAGTTTTTAACTAATTAGTTGTTATTATTTTTGTAATTAAATTGTTGAGCTCGATTTACCAATTTTACATTATAGGTTTAGTGAAATAGTATGAGCCAATGTAATATGCGTCTATTATGTGAGGTATCATTTTTGGAGCTAATAACCTTACTGATTGGAAAGACTAGTGGTTATAGCACTTGAAATAAAATTAAAATAAGATCGCTGGTTCGATTCAAAGGAAGATAGATTTTCAACCTAGATAACGTTGCTGTCTATGTAAAGGTCGACGTAGCATAACATCAGGACAAGGGTATGGATCGTTCCATTATAAAAACCCTAAGCAATGGCAATGGAGTTGAAACAAAGATCAAATAAAATACCATTTTGAGGGTAGTTCCTTTTTATTCCACGTTGCGGATATTAGTAGACTTGTACGAACAAAATAAACTACAGGCAAATAATTCTGTTTTCAATTGCATTCTTTTTAAACATATTTGTATGATCAGTGTCTAAATAATAGCCAACCAGCTACGCCCTTTTTAGCGCCAGATCTGATTTTGATCAAAAATTCGATAACTTTTTACCATTAATAACTTCTGCTTATAAAACCACGGAAAAATGTATTTCATTTGTAATTAAAATGCTTACATTATTTTTCTTCTTAAAGAAGAAGCTTTATAGATTTGACTATTTAAGTAGCACCATTTAAATATAAAACATAAAGACAGCTAATAGCTTTATTTCCCTGTCGCCACAGGACCCTTTACATCGCCATAAATCATAAAATACACAACTAACAAGGGTATGAATTTAGACAATAAATTGTCGTTGAAATGTGTATCGATGATAATGTAGACTGGTGGAAGATGTAGTACATTGGGACAACAATGGAGTCTCGTGGTTAGTTGAAAGCGTACAAAGGCGGCGCCAGATAACAATGCCTGTGTTTACCACAAGTTGAGTGGAGGCTTGAGACCCAAACCCTTGTTTTGGCTCCAACATGTAACTAACTAATAAAGCTACCTGACTCTGTGTTAATTAGTTAATATAATAAGAGTAACAGCGTGTACTTGAAACTCTAACTAGCGTGAAATCAATTGTACCACCTTTCATTGCTTAGCTGAAATTATTTTCCATTCTTTAAATACTTTATATTGACTTATTTCAGCGCGAATACCAATGTCACTAACGTCCAATTTTAATGGCCTAACTTATAAATAACACACATTACGTATAAGATTCGATTAAATTAGTGGAATGTTTTTTGTAAACGTTCTATTGCACACATCGATGGATTTAGAATTTAATAATATATTTTTTTATATATGCGTTATTGGAGTTTTTGCTATTCATTCAAGGGAACCCGTCTAAACCCTGGTCTTGTCCCTATTTAACGTCAAGAACAAAGCCCAATGACAAATTACATGTGGGTCCAGAATAGCAAAATATGATAAGCTAAATTAAAGCACAAAGTCATTAAAATCATGCATTTCAGCAGTGTTTTCAGAGCGTTGTTTTATATTAACGATTGCAATTTAAAATAGAGTTTATTGGGAGTTGGTCCAACCAAACAGTATTCATGCTGTTATATGCTGCAGTACAAGTGAAGTAGCAATTTTGTATGCAATGAATATAAAAAGTATTCAATTGTATAACGTCAATTACCATTGTACTATTTTTACGGGCATTACTAGTAAACATTAGTTGTTGAGAATCATTGGTTACGAGTTTTTATGTTCAAAGGTTACAGTAATACAGAGAGACCCAACTTCATGCAATCGTAATGAGAGATTTTTTTCAGTTTGAAGTAAACATAATAAAGATAGTAGTGTGGTTCCTTAAATGTGAAAATTTAGGAAGCCTTGTGTCTAAAATATTGTTTGAGAAATGCTAGAGTACCGGTAGTAAAACAATCAAAGTGTGAGAGTAGAGTTTATAGGTAAATTTTAAAGAGTGTCTAAATGGATATACATTAAGTGATCCTATTTTAATGTGAACATAAACTAAAGTAAAGTGCCTCCCCGTACGTGAACGTTACGACATTGGGTGGTGTAATTCACCGACTTAAATATAAGATGACGTTGGTGTTATACTTTGCAATCAGAATGTTTAGGTTTTCCTAAAAGGTACGTCAGTACTGTGGTTTTCTAAAATTAAATAGTTAGATAATATCATGATGACAAATAAATAATAAATAACATATTAGAATAACAAATCCAAGCTATTGTTGAAAAAGAAAATTGAGAGTATTTTTCGTAGCTCAATTTTGCAGTATCTTACCTTTCTAAGAGAAGTAATTAACTAAATGTCGAAATGGTGAGCTAATCTTAAAGTGAACATTACGGGGGTGTAATCTGTTTCCATGAAAATCCGGGTAGTGGGCGATCAGTCCTACCCTCCTATCTCAAAATGAGAGTATTGTTTCTATCTGAGTATGAGAGTTCATATACGTTCCAATGAGAATTTTAACACAGTGTGCCTACATTAATGTGAACATATTCAGAGAGTAATATTTCTAACCGAAAATCCATTTCGTGATCCGGTAATCTTCAAACCTGACTATGGTAGTAGTGTTTTCTACTAAGATTTGTTTGTACGTATAAATGGACGTAAGGGTAGTGAGCCTACCTGAATTTACATATATGTGTCTACCACTATGTGAGATTAATGTATACCTGAGTGAGACTTTAGGTAAATCTACCTGAGTAGTGTGCCTACCTATATCAGGGAAAGGATTTACCATACGAACATGAATAAAATATTGAGTGTAGTAAACCTGTTTGAATGTGAGAGTAGTGACAAGCAGTGTGCCTACCTGAAAGTGACAGTAGTGATATGCACTGCAGTGTGCCTACCTGAATGAGAGAGTAGTGACAAGCAGTGGCCTACCTGAAAGTGACAGTGGTGATATGCACTACAGTATGCCTACCTGAATGTGAGAGTAGTTATATGCAGCGTGGCCTACCTGAATGTGAGAGTAGTTATATGCACTGCAGTGTGCCTACCTGAATGTGAGAGTAGTGAGAGGGCGGTAAGACTTGTGACTGCGAGGGTCGACGAGAGGCGTGCCCCAGAAGTCGTTCCTCAGCAGCTGATAGACACTGGACGAGCCCAAGACATCAGGGTTGCGACTGACGGCGACCACGTCATCATGCACAAACTCGCCGTACAAGGCGTTGGTATAACACGCTGTGGCGAGCCCAGCCACCGCGAGGTACGGCCACATCACTGACACTGCCTTCTCCTACACCGCCGCCGCCTCCACCTCCCCTTGCGCATGCCACCCGACACATTGATTGTGACCTTGACACACAGCCTCACTTTCACGCATTCTGGGATATCATATAAGAAATGCATAGACAACACTGCAAGAACACATACGAAAGTAAAATTTAATACATGTGAACAAAAAATATGTAATAAATCCGGTCAAAAGCTATATAAAATCATCTTATCTTACAATTTTATGGTAGCAGTATTACTGATTTATTTAAAACACGCAAAATCCTGAACTCAGCTATTTATTCAAAATCATCAATTCGCTTAAGAGGCATTTTTTCAAATTGTCCTGGAAGTTAGCAATAGTAGTACAAAATTTTTGTACAAGTAGACGGCTAGGATACAGAATTAGTCGGCGTTGGATGCAACATTATATTCAAGGGAATTGAGAGAGTTAATCAACGGAAATTGATTCCCGAAATTGAAATTTACTTTGAAATTTACTACCACATCCTTGCGTAACGTAATTTACTACCACACGTAACGTGGTAACGTTGCAATGCAGAATGTTTATTTTTGTGAGACATATACAATTTAAATTTTCAGAAAACTTAGTATAAGCAACCACTTGAGTATGGTCACCTTACAAAGGTAACAGAATGGACTTTAATCACATTTTTTTCTAGTCAGATGGAATGTGTTAAACAAAAGACAACCAATAACACCTAATATATGTAAGGGGTACAATTGTTTAGACTACATCTTATGTGACAGTTGATTATTAAAAACACATTCGTTTGCTATTAAACAAATCAATATCATTATTTTTTTTTTCTAAAGAGAGTTTTTTTATGTCAAATATAATTGGACTAACGAACCAATTAATTATGCTGATCAATTTGATGTAGAGGACAGTTCTGCGTTCGCATTTAATTTATTGGCAATAACTGATAATTAAATCCACCCTTCCACCCGCTTATTATTGCACCTAACGGTCCAATTCTACTGAATCGTTTTCAACACTTCATTCAATTCAATACCAGTACGCTGATTTGGTTTAAGAGATTATGTACAAACTATTGAATGGGTTTATTTCAAAATTAAACGATAAAAGACGATAAAAGATTAATACAACTTACATTACAAAACATTCATTATTCTTCTACGTTACAGTGTTGAGCATTTTATAAAACCGATGTCTGTCCCAAGTGCTGACCCACACAATCAACGTGGATAGGCAAATTTTATCAATTTTGAATTAGTACATGTCAACTTGTAAATATTTGTTCTCGTAACAACAACGAAAATCATCATAAGACTTTTTCCCAATACTTAAAGTAAAAATAAATAGTAAGAAGCATACCTGAATGTATATTTCACGTCAGCTTATTTAATTTTGCTTAAACATATCGGCTATTACCATATAATATTGAGTAAATTATGCTGATGCCTACGTGACATCAACTACAATTATATTAAATGTGTGTTAGTTGGTGTATTACTGTGCAGAACATGTCTCTTGTGGTTGATTGTATGGGACAGCGTCTCAGCATGCCTATCATACCGCCAATGCTCACTATTGTATTGGTTCAGGACAGTGATTAATATTGGCCCAGGCATCTGACACAATTGTCTAGTAGGTGTCGTTGTGGCAACTGTTCACCAAGTAACTTGCCATCGCAACTATTCTTATAAAACATGTAAGATAACTGCAGACACTACACTGGTTTATATTGTCAATATAAATAATGTTAAGTGACAAAAATTCCATAGCAGAAATGGTCTGGTAGTACAAATCCTTGGGGTATTTTTATATACACTATGCGTATTGGTCTCTAGATCATAAATAGGGGTTTCCAAGCTCCAGATTTTGTGCTTTTAAACAGATTACAAGATAGTAAAATCCGGTTTTGTGTTTTCATATCAGAATTGAGGTAGTAAAGTAAAGTAGAAAGATATTTTTTTTAAGAACAATTTTCCCGAATAAGATTCAGGTTTAATGCGAAGATAGAAACTTGTTTTCCAAACTAACAGAACAAATATAAAATTAATTAAAATTCTGGTAGCGGTTTCAGTCAGATATATTTTGTTCTTTTATTTACAAGAATGACTATGTAGATTTTTTATTACTGGTACGTTGAAAGTAATTTTGTACATTTATCTTTCTGTTCAGTTAGCCAAACAAACTCACTAGAGATTTACACAGATTTCTGATTTACAACTGTGTCATAAATTTGACATGATATGCATGATCTATGATAAATATCAAAGCGCTTGGAAATAATTGTCATAATGAATTTCCTTAGTTCATATTCAGACTACATAAGTAGAAACGTAAAAAAAAAACTTTTTATATAATGCCTGGATATAGCAATGAATAAAGAAAAGTAATAAAAGTCAAGACCCCTAACTGTCAGAGCACATTTAAATATCTCTGCTTTCAACTGTGACACAGAAACATCAAAGAATATTGCGCCAACTTGAAATCACCGTCACAAACTGTTGTTACGCTCCATTCCTCCAACTCAACCATCGTGTCTTGCAATGAGTTTCAGTAGCATTACTTAATTGTGCATTAACTGTGGATATTTACAGGTAGATGCGATACTACCTGGTGTGGATTAACGTCCGCACTAGTAAGTACTTCAACTATCCACAGTATTTTCCTGGTAATTAGACCTAATCGTTAATTACAAGGCAAAATGTGTTTCGGATTCCACTATAAAGTAGGTCCCTTAGTTGGCTGTATGGGCTATTAATTAACAGCTGTGTCTAAGGAACATGTCGGCCTTTTTCAGAAACATGAGTACAATATCGTGCCGCATATCCCACACTCGTTTAAAAAACCTACAGTCGTGTGGTCACCATTTCAGAATAAAGAAATACTTGAAATGTTTACATTTTTCGCACCGTTTAATCAAAACATGATTATAAGGCTGTAAATGATATAATTATCTACAGCATGAAACTAACTATATTGTTTAAGCCGTACCGTATCATCCGATTGAAGTTTCACACCTAGGGAGATACAATAACGTAAATTCCATTCACAAAAAGGTTCGTCTTTCACCGTTTGATTTTGTTTCTTAGAAGTATCTCTATGAACTACATCTATGACAAGAATATTTTTTACATTATCTTCGTGATTTATTGTATTTCATTTACTAGGTCCATGATTGAGAGAAATGAAAGGATTTTTTTTATTTACATAATTTTTCAAATTTTACACTTTTTTTTGGATGGTGGAGGTGATGTTTTTAAGCTATATGTGATCGATGGTCTTACATTACCCAGCTGAGATTGGAGCCCCCTCTACTCTAACATAACTTCACTTTAATACTTTGAGCATTGTCTGAGACAAAGACCAGGAGAGCTAGGAGGTGACGGTGACGTTGTTAAGCTGCATGTGATCGATGGTCTTACATTACCCAGCTAAGATTGGAGCCTCCTCTACTCTAACAACACTTCACTTTAATACTTTGAGCATTGTCTGAGACAAAGACCAGGAGAGCTAGGAGGTGACGGTGACGTTGTTAAGCTGCATGTGATCGATGGTCTTACATTACCCAGCTAAGATTGGAGCCTCCTCTACTCTAACAACACTTCACTTTAATACTTTGAGCATTGTCTGAGACAAAGACCAGAAGAGCTAGGAGGTGACGGTGACGTTGTTAAGCTGCATGTGATCGATGGTCTTACATTACCCAGCTGAGATTGGTGCCTCCTCTACTCTACAATCACTTCACTTTAATACTTTGAGCATTGTCTGAGACAAAGACCAGGAGAGCTAGGAGGTGACGGTGACGTTGTTAAGCTGCATGTAATCGATGGTCTTACATTACCCAGCTAAGATTGGAGCCTCCTCTACTCTACCATCATTTCACTTTAATACTTTGAGCATTGTCTGAGACAAAGATTAGGAGAGCTAGGAGGTGACGGCGACGTTGTTAAGCTGCATGTGATCGAAGGTCTTACATTACCCAGCTAAGATTGGAGCCTCCTCTACTCTAACAACACTTCACTTTAATACTTTGAGCAGTGTCTAAGACAAAGACCAGGAGAGCTAGGAGGTGACGGCGACGTTGTTAAGCTGCATGTGATCGATGGTCTTACATTACCCAGCTAAGATTGGAGCCCCCTCTACTCTAACAACACTTCACTTTAATACTTTGAGCAGTGTCTGGGACAAATACCAGGAGAGCTGGGAGGTGACGGCGACGTTGTTAAGCTGCATGTGATCGCTGGTCTTACATTACCCAGCTAAGATTGGAGCCCCCTCTACTCTAACAACACTTCACTTCAATACTTTGAGCAGACTCTGAGACAAAGACCAGGAGAGCTGGGAGGTGACGGCGACGTTGTTAAGCTGCATGTGATCGATGGTCTTACATTACCCAGCTAAGATTTGAGCCCCTTCTACTCTAACAACACTTCACTTCAATACTTTGAGCAGACTCTGAGACAAAGACCAGGAGAGCTGGGAGGTGACGGCGACGTTGTTAAGCTGCATGTGATCGATGGTCTTACATTACCCAGCTAAGTTTGGAGCCCCCTCTACTCTAACAACACTTCACTTTAATACTTTGAGCAGACTCTGAGACAAAGACCAGGAGAGCTGGGAGGTGACGGTGACGTTGTTAAGCTGCATGTGATCGATAGTCTTACATTACCCAGCTAAGATTGGAGCCCCCTCTACTCTAACAACACTTCACTTTAATACTTTGAGCAGTGTCTGGGACAAATACCAGGAGGGCTGGGAGGTGACGGCGACGTTGTTAAGCTGCATGTGATCGATGGTCTTACATTACCCAGCTAAGATTTGAGCCTCCTCTACTCTAGCAATGCTTTGAGCTAGGAGGTGGCGGTGACGTTGTTAAGCAGCATGTTAATTTACTTATGCCGGGTATATTCCCTATTGCCATAAAATGGCTTCTGAAATAAGTAACCTCTTCATCCACATACAGAATTACATTTAGAGATATTTGAGAATAGATTTGTCTTAGATAAATCATTAATGATAGCGTTACAATTTGC